GGGGGGGGGGGGGGGGGGGAGGAAGGAAGGTAAGTGTCTGTGAATTGATGATATTAGAGGTGGGGAGAGTGGGACGTCTGTGAGCTAATGGTCTGGCCCAGAAAGCTCATCATCTAATAAACCATCTTGTTAGTCTTTAAAGTGCTACATTGTCCTGCATTTTGCTTCAGCTACACCAGACTAACACGGCTACATTTCTATCACTAACTCCTGCTGTTACCTACCACTTCTTGCAGAGGTGGATTAATTACTCCAATGGGAGAAGCTTGCCCATTGGCCTAGTAGTAGTGTCTTCACTGAAACTGCTGCAGCATTTTAAGTGTAGACCTGCCCTCTGTCCTGCTCCCACCAATCACACTTTGTCTGTCTTGTCCACATAGCCTGTGAGCTCTTTGGGGCAGGCCCTGCTCAGTGGGGCCCTGGTCTCCATTAGGGACCCTAGGCTGGACTGTAATGCAAACTGAGCATGCTGACAGCTCCTACAGCCCTACTCCCTGGCTCCCAGGGAAGGAGAGGGATTAAGAAGGCTGTGAAGGGGAGCGGTGGGTCACAACAAGGCACGGAGGGAGGCTGAGGCAGCAAAGAGGAAATGAGAGAGGTGATGAAGCTGACAGGTAGGGCACCCTGTGGTTCAGATTTAGGGCTTGTATTTAATTTATTTATTACTGATCTAATGAAGAAGGGGAGCAGTGATGTGGCAACAGTTGCAGATGACAATTATTTTAGGCTAGTCTCATACAAAGGAGGATGAGTAACTACAGAGGGATCTAGCGAAGCTGGGGCAATGTGACAGGCAGAGGGAATTCAGTGCAGATAAGGGTGAGGTAATGCACTGGACAACAGCATGCCTTCATTTTTAATTAAGATTCAGTTTAGCTAGGAAGTGCTTAGATACTACAGTGATGGGTGCTATAAAAACCCTACTATTGAAAGATAAGAGATATCTCCATTCATTTGATAAGGAAGTGCTGCTTAAAAAGGAATGGCAGTACATGGCCAATGAAAAGGAACAACATCTGTGAAGAAAGACCTACAAGTCTTGGTGAATGAAAATCTCTGAGCAATATGCAGCCGGGGCTAACAAAGAAACACGCACACAGAAGACATATAAACAGTTGGACAGAAAATAATACTGAGAATATTTTAATGCCACTATATAAATTAGTGATGTGTGCAGTTCTGGTCACCCCATCTCAAAGAGGCTACAGGAGAAATGGAAGGTATTCCGAGATGGGTAACAAGAATAATTACAGGCCTGGAAGAGACTTTTTGTAGGACAAGAGACTGAAAAGACTGGAACTGCAGCAGAGAAGAGATGAATGGTATATAGAAAATGCTCTTATTTGCCCTCTCTCTTCATACAAAAGCAAGGGAACAGTCAGTGAAATTGAGAGACAGAAAATGTAAAACCGACAGACATGCTATGCTACACACTGCATAAATACAGGCTGTCCTCGCTATAAGTCCAAGCTATGTCCCAAAAAAACTTGGACTTATAGTGAAACAACTTAAAGCGAGTAATTTTTTTTCCCACGGCTGACTTCTATTTAAGTAAATTGGGCTTGGGGTTTTTTTGTGCAAGTTATAGTGAGGAATGGGAGGACTTATAATGCATCAGTTCCTACAAACGTTAACTATTTTAGTGTGAAATGGATGTATAATGGGACACCCTGTAACCTGTGCAAATCTCCGCCATAAGATGCGTGGAGGCCAACAGTAACACTGACATTAGACACTGATGTGAACGACAGAAATATCAGCCTAGTAGTTACAATGGCTAGGGGGAACTTTTATAAGAAATGCTTATGTGAAGAGTAGAAGCCAACTACTCATTTCCCGGGTAGATGCAGCATGTCCCCCTATGAGTAGGCTACTGGAAAACATTTCATTAGGGGAGTTTTACACCTTCCTTCAAGGAGGGGTAATAGCCACTTTTGGAGACAGGTGATGGTGGTAGCAGAACAATTGCTCTGATCCTATGGAAGAGAGACCACTCTGGATGCTGGGTCCAGTTCCGATGTCCACACTTTAAAAAGGCTATTGTGAAACTGGAGAGGGTTCAGAGAAGGGCTACACAGAATGACCTGTAACATGCCTTACAGCGAGAGGAAACTCAGGGAGCTCGAGCTATAGAAGGGTAGATAGAGAGGTGATCTGAGCACAGTCTCGTGGTACCTACACGAAGATCATACTGCTGACACCAAAGGGCTCTTTGCTCTAGCAGACCACAGTCCAGGGGCTGGGAGATGAGGTCAGCAGTGTTCAAACAGCAAATAAGAGATAGGATTTTACAGGATTGTAGTGAACCCCGGGAATGGATCCCAAAGGCTGTGGTAGGGTCTCCATCACTTGGAGCCTCTAAACTGAGTTTGGATGCCTCTTTCTAAGACACATTTTCTCACTCAACCACAAGTTACTGGGCTGGATGCTGGGTGAGATTCTCAGGCATGTGATGCACAGGAAGTCAGACTAGATGATCTAATGGCCCCTTCTGTTCTGAGCATCTATGAAATCTCTGTGGCAGTTCCTAATCTCCAGAAGACAAATCCTCGCCATGCAGGCAGCTCCCCCGAGTGGGGCCCACACTGATCCCTGCAGGGTTCTCGAACATGGGGCTGATCAGAAAGTCTGGGAAGGGAAGGTCAGTAGAGGGTTCTCACCCTTGTGGATTTTCTCGTGTCTCTTGTGGTGGGAGCTGTGGCTGAAGCCCTTCCCACAGAAGGTGCAGATGTAGGGCTTCTCGCCCGTGTGGATGCGCTGGTGCTGGGTCAAGGTGGACTTGTCTGTGAAGCTCTTCCCGCAGTCAGAGCATGTGTAGGGTTTCTCCCCAGTGTGGATGCGCTGGTGCCGGAAGAGGTTGGAGCTGACGCTGAAGCTCTTCCCACAATCGGTACATTTGAAGGGCTTCTCGCCCGTGTGGATCCGCATGTGCTTGATGAGATCGGCATTCTGGCTGAAGGTCTGCCAGCACTCGGTGCACGTGTTCAGCACCTCCACCTTCCTCCTGGCCTTGGCCTTCCCCCCAGTGCCCTCACGCTGCTGCGGTGATGAGCACTTGCCTGGCCTCTTGCCCAATAGGTGCCGCAAGTGTTTCTTCCGGTGGGAGCTGCGGCTGAAGCTCTTCCCGCAGTCAATGCACTTGTAGGGCTTCTCACCAGTGTGGACGCGCTGGTGCTGGGTCAGGTTGGACTTGTCGCTGAAGCTCTTTCCGCAGTCGGGGCAGGCATAAGGTTTCTCCCCAGTGTGGATGCGCTGGTGGCGGCTGAGGCTGGAGCTGACGCCAAAGCATTTCCCACAGTCGGGGCACTTGTAGGGCTTTTCGTCTGTGTGGGTTCTGCGGTGGTTGATCAGGCTACTGTTCTGGGTAAAGCTTTTCCCACACTCGATGCAGATGTTGGGGCTCTCCTCTGTCTGGGTTCCTTGGTGCACTACAAAGTCCTTTCGCTTCTTAATTCCTTGGAGGAGTTTCACTGGCCTCTTCTCCACAGACTCTGGCTCAGGCTCCGGCTCCTCTGGCCTACGTTGGCTCTCACCAGGTTTGTCCTGCTCAGGACTCGAGTTCATGTTCCTCTTGGACTTTCTGGGTGACATCTTCAGCGTCTTGGCTTCCGCTGGATAACGTTTCGGCTCTTCACGCTCACCTGCACCCCAGTGCCAGCTGCAAAATCAAAACAACTCTTTGATTAAATTCTTCTCAAATGTACTGGCATGCATGGGTCATCATCCATCAGGAACACCCGCTCAGAGGTGACATTCTGAGCCCCTTTATTACAGTGCAAAACCATCGCCTAGCCCCAAGACTGCGCCTGCTGAGACATTTTAACAACCCAGTAACAGATTCTCTGACTCAAACACTAGAAAGAGAGCAGACCCCAAGGAGCGGCTTTGGGGGCTACCCTGCCCCGGCCCCCAGGGCAGCACATTCCCCCAGCACCGGGGACCAGGCAGAGGTAGGACCTGGCTTTTCCTCCCCCTGCACCTCAACTTGTCCCAGGACAGTCACTCTGCCTGGGGCATTGGATGGGGTGTATGCAGGGGATGGGGTTAGGAACCAGGAACCTCCCTCGTCCCCCCCCCCCCATTGCTCCCCCTCCCCCTACCTCACTCCTACCCCC